GTTTGTCTAAAAACACCAAAAGAAATTACAATTTTTCTTACTTCTTCCGTTTATTCTCTTTGCTTTGCACATTTAGTTTAATTTATTATAATAGAATATTTCTTATAATCATTAAAAAATACACTAAACGCGATGAAAGAACAAACTAAACGCAAAATGATGCATTTGGAGAATGTGACAGGAAAACCAAAATTGGACCAAATAACAAGTGAAAATATTAAAAAAACCTAAAATAATAATGAAATCTAAAAGGTATGCAAAAAGCAAAAAAAGAAACCGGATATCATGGGTGTAGAAGGAAAAAACATATCAACAGATCAAAGAGTTGTGGGAAGACCTGAAAACCTGAAAAAGATAAGTAATTAATAGTGATATAATTTTAAATAAAATTAATAAAAGAATGATGTTATAAATTACTAAACTTACAGAAACTTAGAGAACAAAAATAAAAGCGCAGCGTAAAGGCTACGGCGGGATAAGAATTCAGCACCGCGACTTGAGCTTTCAATAAAGCATATAAAAATATGACTTCATACAAATTTTTAGCTTCCCAGGGCTCATAGAACCTCTTAAATCTAAAAAAGAAGCTGCTTTAGACTTAATTTTTTTCTGGACGCAATTTTGCTTTAAAAAATCTGAAAAAATTCATGAAGATATATCTGTCGAATACAAAATGGCCTGATTTTTTTCAAATTTTTATATTGAAAATTGAGCTCAGAAAAAATCATTGAAATTTTCAATAATTTCTTAGTTTATATTGGCTAACTAAATAGTAATTTTTTTATGTATTTTTTTTGTCGTCTTTGAAATTGTGAAGGCAGAATTTGCAATTTCTGAGCGGAAAGCATCTAAAATAAAAAAAAACTGTTTTTTATTTATTTATTTGCACCTAACCTCTAAACTCAGTTGGTAATTCAACATTTTTTCCTCCACGTAATTTCTATTGTAAAAGTCCAATTTTTTTTTTATTTTTTGATGCTTTTCACTCAGAAATTGAAAATTCTGCCTTGGCCATTTTAAAGAACGAAATATCTGTGTGCGATTTTAAATTAATAGCTTCATCAGCAGAAACTGTGTTTTCTCTAAGAGCTTTACATAGGGTTGGAGAGTTTTTCTTTATCTTATATTTATTCGTTAAATCATAATAGTTTAAATTTGTTAATTCAGCATAAAGGAAAGTGTTCTCGTGTTTAATTTTCAGTGAAAATTTTTCGGCAAAGAAATGCCATCTGAGAGAAATTGGAGGCCTTAAAATTTTTAAACTGATTATTTGTGATATTGTGTATTTTGGAAAAGTTAATAATTTTCAAAAAATCTACTTTTGAAGCTATTTCTGTAATAATTACGCAACAAATTAACAAAAATAACTTTACCAACACTTATTTTAAAGGATTTTCTATGCTTTGACTTCATAATACCTTTAGTATTTAAAATCAAATAGCGATCTTACATTGTTTTTATTGTTTACAAATAAAAAATTATGATTAATCTTTCCACATTTTGTATATTACACATTGTTATCACCAAATTTATCTAAAGCAGTTGTTAGATAACTTTATCAACGGGTATCATGGAAAATAGTTAGTTCCTTGGTCTAATATATCATCTCAATTTCTATCAATCTCAATTTACATAAGCAAAAGTTACGACACCAGATTAAAATTCGTTGAAATTATATTAAAAAAAAAAACAATGAAAAATAAAATCTTCTTTTTGTGCCACTCCTATCGGAGATTGGAAATCATCAAGGCTATTCTGACCTTGTTTACGGCTGACCTAAAGAGTTCATTAGTGGTGCAGCCAAACCACTCTCTCAAATTCCGCAACCATGACATTCTTCTACGGCCTGGATTCCATTTTCCTTCTGTTTTTCCCTGCATTATATTTTGAAGTAATGCGTATTTATGTCCTCTCATCAGGTGACCAAAATATTCGAGTTTTCTTCGCTTTAGCGTTAACAAAATCTCTGGGTCTTTTCCTATTCTTCGTATTACTTCACAGTTTGTTATTCTTTCAACCCAACTAATCTTCAGCATTCGACGGTAGCACCACATCTCGAAACTTTCAATATTTTTCATGTTGTTCTGTTTGAGAGTCCAGGCCTCTACACCGTATAATAGCGTGTTAAATACATAGCCTTTCAGCATTATTAATCGTAGAGGGATGCTTATATTTCTGTTGCAGAAGAATTTTCTCATTTTTATGAAGGTGGCCCTGGCAATTTCGATACGTCTTTTTATTTCACTGTTTTGGTCTCCAGTTTCGTTTATTAAAGTTCCCAAGTATTTGTAACTTGATACTTTTTCAACTTGAGTGCCGTTTATACTAATATACGCTGGTTGTGTCATGTTTTTACTGAAGACCATAAACTTGGTTTTTTTAATATTGATATTTATACCATAATTGTTGCAAGCAATATTTATGTCTCTAAGTAATCTTTGTAATTCTTCTACTGCTCTTGCAACTAGTACAGTGTCGTCCGCGTATCGAATATTATTTACAATCTCTCCATTAATTACGATTCTTCCGTTTGCTTGTAAAAGGGCTTCCTGACAGATGCTTTCACTATATACATTAAATAACAGTATATATCTATGTCCTTCCTTTCAAGAATCTCTCTAAGCTTATCATGGCGTACTCTGTCAAACGCTTTTTCAAAATCGATAAAACACGTATGTACCTCCTGATTAACGTCTATTCATCTTTGTGTGAGAACATTTAAACCGAAGAGAGCTTCTCGAGCACCAAGCCCTTTTCTGAACCCCATCTGTGTATTACTAATATCTGACTCCAACTTTTGATAAACTCGGTTGTGGATGATTTTTAGAAATATCTTTAGTAGGTGGCTCATTAAGGTATTGTTCGATGTTCTGAACATTCTTTAACATTAGATTTCTTTGGCAGTGTAATGAATGTAGACAACAGCCACTCTTGAGGTATAATACAGTATTGTATATTGTATTAAATAAGTGCAATATTATACCTATTGATTCATCATTCAAGAGCTTTAGCAATTCGGTAGGAACCTCATCCGGTCCATTTGCCTTCCCAGTTTTGGAATTTTTAAGTGCCATTTCTACTTCACGTTTTAGAATTTCAGGTCCGTTTCGCCATATATCAGAACAATGTTATTTCTGTTGTCCTCAAATAATTCTCTTATGTATTCACTCCATCTATTAATTTTCTCTGTTAAATCTATAATAATCTTTCCATCTTTGTTCTTAAGCAAACTTATTTGACGTCTTCTTTGGGTTCCTGTAATTTCTCTTACTTTTTTATGTATATTGAACGTGTCATACTTCCTTTCATAGTTTTCCATTTCTACACATTGTTCTGTAATCCATGATTCTTTGGCATTTCTTATTCTTTGCTTTATGTTCTTATCAACCTCTTTGTATTTTTCTGCATTATTCTTCATTTTACGTCTTTCATCCATTAGTTCTAGAATGTCTGGTGTCATCCACACCTTATGTTTCTTTGCAGATTTGGTTAGGTGTTTCTTTCCCGTAGTTCTTATTATAGTATTTATATACTTAAGTTTTTCATCTATGTTGTCTGTTCTGCGGATTTGGCTTTCTGCTACACTGAGGCTGGTGTTTATTTCTTCTCCCACTGTTTGTCGTAGATGTTCATTTTTAAGCTGGCTTAAGTCTAATGCTGGAATGATGGCTTTTCTTATTTTCTTTGGTCTAGCTTCTATCAGAGATACTACTGGATTATGATCCGAACCGATATTAGCTCCAGGAAAAGTTTTAGTAGATTTTACGGCATTACGGTATCTTTTTGTCACCATAGTCACACTATTCATAAATAAATTTTTTAGTCAATATTTTTTCATTTATATATTTATTAGCATTAAACTTTCAAATATGAAGATGTCCAGCAGAGTATATTAATTTTATATATCTATGTATCTGAACCATAAGACACTATGTTCACTTTTTTGGACTATCACAAACTACCAGAGATTGACACGTGCGATAAGTGCGACACTTTTCACGCTAAGCTGAAAAGTGGTTTGTCTGCTGAAAAATGCTGATAGTGATGTAAATTCAGCAATACAAGTACTGTTAAGCATTAATTTATAAATTTGTCTTCCAACACCCTAACTGTCATGTGGTTTATCATTTTATAAGAGAAAACTATGGAACCTTAACTTCATTATCAGCAATGCTTCCTGTATGGTGCGAGCCGAAAGTAAGGGTGGCCGCCGGAGGAACGAATTGGCCTCTGCACTTCTATTTGCAATATTGAAAAAATCACTATATGCTCTGATAACTGTTATGACCAGAACAAGAACATGGCGCAGTACACTAATTCCTGCCTTCATATTGCCATGATTTTTACAAAAAGTTGAGTTATGGTGATAACATGCATTACCAGTACCCTGCCAGGCGTGTATATTGAGGTCGACGTAATGGAACCAAATTAATAATTCTCAGCTTTATTGCTCGTAATTCCAGACACATGTAGTGTATTTTATTATACGAACTTTTATAAAACTTATAAATACCGATAAAAATTGAACATAACGCTTTTTAATTTTTTACAACATAAATATTTTTGGAGTTAACAAAACTATGTCGTTTTTAAATTCTACAAAAAAAATTGAACCGAAACTGCTGTCAGGTATAGTACAACTATTTAGTACAACATTATCTTACTAATTAAGTACTAAATAATTTTCAAAACTGGGAAAATATAAAATCAAGGGTGACAAAATCATTTCTTGCTCTTTACCAACATTTGCATTTGTATGACATGGTGCCTTCTGGTTCCGATGTACAGATATGTAATTGCCACTTTGAACTCTAAGTATATAGTTAATAGTTACCATATTTACAAGAACTACTTTATAAAATTTTATTAACAGACTGAAATATATTAATCGTTGTTTCTTTTTCTATTACAGTATACTGGAATTACGAAAAGAAAAAAGTCGGGACGCAGCAAGATCACGTCGAGGAAAGGAAAATTACGAATTCTACGAATTGGCGAAAATGCTCCCTCTTCCTGCCGCTATCACCTCTCAATTAGATAAGGCTAGCATCATAAGACTGACCATTTCATATCTCAAATTAAGGGACTTCTCAGGACACGGCGAACCGCCATGGAGTAGGGATGGACCGCCTACGAACAAATCTTTAAAAGGTAAGTCATTTTGAAATTCTGTAAACCATAATATTTATATGCCGCTTCTACTTGTTGGATTGACGTCAACAAAGAGGAATGGGTGTTTTTGTAAGGTGTAGCAAATCCATCCTTCTATAAATTTCAATATTTAGTGTCAGTCTGCATCCGAAAGTCAAACTCTTTACTCTTTACTCTTTAAAACACATCTTAATTTTTGTCGATAGCTCACTTTTATCAAAAGATACCGAATCAGCGAGTAACTGACATGTAAAATCGACGGTCACTTCAAGCGTTGTTTCTAAGAAAACGGTTCATTCTACACAAAAAATGCTTAATAACATTCTTGTTTAAAATTATCTTAGCTACATTTTTTATTTAAAATGTTTTTTTCTACGATGTACAGATTCTTGGTAAATCGATTTTTTGTGTTTATACCCCCTCCGAGGGGAATTTTAGGAGTAAGCCCGGGGTAAAAGTGATAAACTTTTGTGCATCTTTTTTGGGGTCCCAAAATTAATAGTCTCTTCAAAATTCAGCTTGTTTGTAGGATTTTTAGGGCTCAACTCGCTGTAGACTGGACTATTGTGCATTTTTAAAAGCTTAGAATGACAGCAATCTCAGCGAAATACCTAATTGTCCATCTTGTCTAGCTCGAAAAGTAAATGCGAGTGCAATACAGGCCAATCTCTTATGTTTCTTATTATTTGCGTCATGCTAGTCCTCTTTTGCCTTGTATTTCCCATTCGATAATTAACTTCAAAAGCATTGCGATACTGCTTCTTTTAACATAGCTAAGAAGAAGTTTCCTTTTTAATTACATTACAAATCAACTCTCTTTCTTTATTGATCCTTTAACCGGAGCGAAGAAGAAGAACTTCTCGCTAAGTATATGATTTAGTCTTTATTAAAAAGTATTTACATTAAGTGTCCACGTTTGACAGCCATGCGAGAGAACTTAATAAACAAACCAGTGAACGAAACGTAAGTGCAATAAAAAAGTGCAATAATTAGTGAATTTTTGAAACCAGCACGGCGTTATTAAGGGTAATGCCTGTAGTAAAAGTGTTTGCAATTCCAAACTGTTAATTATAAATTTTTATGTGCAAAAACGGTGTTTTCTGATTATTTTTATTTTTATTGTATCGTATCAAAATTTTAGTTTAAAATGATTACAATATTATACTAGCGAAAACGCCGTATCTGCAAAAATCTGGGAAAATTAAATTTGCACATCTTTGAATGTAAAATGTGCATATCTAGCTTATTTGCTTACTAAAAATGACTTAATTTAAGCCAAAACTCATTAAACACAATTTTATGCCGTATCTACAAAAATGTACATGAATACTTAGAATAAATGCATTATCTGAAAAATACTTAGACAAAACGTCGTATTTGAATTTCAGTTGCCGCGTTTATCCTAGGCAGTCGCTAGATGCTGCGTTTTGACTAAGCATGTAACAGATTTTTACAGCATGTTTAAAATTTTTAATAAGGTTAGTTTATGGCCATTTTTTCAACAAGAACGGTTGGTTAATATAGTTTTTTAGAAATGTCAAATACAAGTTAACACTGCAAAAAACTATTTATCAACAGAAAATCTAAATACCGATGTTTCTGCTGTTGGTGATCAAGAAATGATGTGTGCTCTAAAAACAATGCGGTACTACTGGATGAGACAAACAATGCATAAGTATTCAATTGTTGTGTTTACCCAAGGACATTCAAGATAAAAACTTTAGTCCAAGAAAAGAGAAGGGAAAACGCCCTACTGACTTCATATCCAAAAGTGAAATTAACGACCATATAGAATAATTTCAACCGGTAATATCACATTATCGTAGGGAGCATGCTACAAATATCTGCTACTTATCTAATGACATAGCAATAAATTTAATGCATCAAGATTTTCTAGAGAAGACTCCAACAATTAAAGTATCCTATAACGTTTATGGAGTCTAAGTAAAGGCAAAAAAATCTTTTGCAAAACTCGGAAACGAAGAGTGTGAGGTGAACAATTTAATCTCCACGCTCATACTAAAGAAAATATGGTAGATGGTTGCGACATATTCCATTGGAAACGCCATATGAAAATGAGCAATGTTTCTCTCCTGATTTAGAAAAAAATATTATGGTGCCACGAATAAATAATTTTAAGAAAGTAATTTTCACCAAACGTCTTACTGTGTACAACTAAAGCTTTGTACCGCTTGAAAAAAAAAATCTAAAATAAATCCGTTTGATGTTGTAAGCACATTTTATTCATTTGTGGCTGGACAACTGTTCCAGCCAAAATAAAAAGTGGTATTTTTATAGCTTCCTAGTTTATATTATTAATTCTGATGAAACTTCAACCGATACTATTAATATAAATTACTTTGAACCTGGTCATTCATATATGTCAGCAGATAGTTTTCATCACCAGGTGAAATTATTAAAAAAAAAACAGAGAAAAACCTATGACTTCACAAATTTTCTTCAAGCAGTTCAACTTTTAAACAGTGTAAAAGTCGACATAAAAGAAATGAAGAACAGTGACTTCTGTAAATGGTCAAATCATTCTTCTAAAAAAAAAAAATAATAAAGCAACCATATCGCACATATTTGAAAAACATCGTTCAAGTAACTGCGACTCGAGGAAGTTCTATCTATCTATACAGCCCTTAAAATCCATCCTTGGATATAGGCCTCCTCCTCCTTCTTCCATGCCTCTCTATCTTGGGCAATTTGCATCCATTTTGACCCGGCGTGTTTCTTCAGGTCATCTGACCATCGCATTTGTGGCCTTCCCTTTTACGTTTGTGATTCCATGGTCTCCAATGTATAATTGTTTTAGTCCATCTTTCATCTTTCTGCCTTAGGGTGTGTCCGGCGAACTTCCATTTAAACTTTGCTACTTGGGTTGAGACATCTTTCACTTTTGTTTTATTACGGATCCATCCGTTTCTTTTTTTGTCTGATAGTTTAATGTTCAGCATTTGTCTTTCCATGGATCTTTCTGTCTTTGCTATTTTTTCCATATTTTCCTTTGTAAACGTCCATGTCTGAGAGCCATATGTGAGGACAGGGAGTATACATTGATTGAAGACTCTCGTTTTTAAGTATTGGGGGTATTTTGAATTCTTTAGAATATAAGACAGTTTTCCAAATGATGCCCAGGCCAATCTTATTCTTCTCTTTATTTCTTCGGTCTGATTTTCTTCATTTAATTTAGTGATTTGGCCTAGATATACAGGGTGGTCCTTAAGTAATTGTACAAAAAGAAACCACAGTTTCTACACTTTAAAATATTATGATTAAACTCAACTTACTTTCATAAAATGTTGATATTAAAAAAGATACAGGGTGTTAATGTGAAAATTTAAAATTTTATTTTTCGCTATAACTTTCTTGTTTGTAAACATTTATGTATAAAAATTTACAACTGGGTACAATTTAATATCAGAAATTATAATTTGATGCATACCTTAATATCGCCAATAGAGGGCGCCACATATGCCACATACGCGGCATACATTTGCACTTAAATTTTTTGTTCTTCAAGTTACCGGTATTTTTGATAAAAAATATTAAAAATACATTATTTTAACAAAGAAAAGGTTTACTTGTTAATAACTCTAAAACTCAACAGTTTTCGAGATAATCGCATTTTACAAATCAACTGCATAATTCTGATTTAACGCAATTACTCCAGGCATTGAAAGAAAAATAGATAAAAACATCAATACTTCTGAATTTTGTTATAAAATACCTTTAATAAAGTTAATAGTTAACGAAATAATAAATAAAATAATATATCAGCAGGATAATTAATAATAGAATTTATTAAAATAACAGAATAATTGGATTTTACATCAAAACATTTTACGTTTTGTATTAAATTAAAGTCATAATCAAAACATTTTATTTACAAACCAAATTAAGAAATAGTTAAACTAAATAACATTAAACTTTTTGTCAAAATAAGTGTTTAATATGTCCACCATTTTCTTTAATTCATTTGTCAATACATTCCATAAAATATCGTCTCATATTAAATAGCATCATTGGTTCTAAAGAAACTGCTGCAGTACTTATTATAAGTATAATAATAGGTATTCTTTTGGGATTTTCATGAATTAAATAATTATATTAATATCTTACCACATAACCAAGGAATATGACTATCACGAACAATCCAACGTTCAGGAAAGGTGTTGTTAAATACTGTTCTCACTCACTCTTCTCTGTAATGTATTGGTGTACCGTCTTGTATAAACCAAATATTTAGCCTGAAGTTTGATGACAATTCTTCCAATAAACCAATAAAATTATTTTATAAAAAATGTAAATAAATCTCACCATTCAAATTGCAAGATAATTCGCCTATCCGTAAAATATTCAAAATTCATATTTAAAATGCATGTCCTATGGTTTGGAAGCATTGGTAATTATTTTTTACGGATATGCGAATTACCTTGCAATTTGAATGTCGAAATTTATTTACATTTTTTATAAAATGATTTTAGGCAAAATATGTGGTTTCTACAAGATGGTACACCATTACGTTACAGAGAAAGCGGAGTGAGACAGTGTTTAAATTCAACTTTCCTGAACGTTGGATTGTTAGTGGTATTCATATTCTTGTGGTGAGATATTAATATAATTATTTAATTCATAAAAATTTCAAAAAATTACTTATTATTATACTTATAACACTTATAATAAATACTGCAGCAGTTTCTTTAGAACCAATGATGCTATTTAATATGAGACGATATTTTATAGAATGTATTGACAAATGAACTAAAGAAAATGGTGGACATATTGAACACTTACTTTGACAAAAAGTTAAACGTTATTTAGTTTAACTATTTCTTAATTTGGTTTATAAATAAAATGTTTTGATTATGGCTTTAATTTGATACAAAACGTAAAATGTTTTATGTAAAATCCAATTATTCTGTTATTTATCAAATCCTATTATTTTATCCTGCTGATATATTTATTTTATTTAATAATTCGTTAACTATTAACTT